AATTCGTCTGGTAAATTAAATTCGTCCTTGACGTTTTATCCGTCTTGGTAAGACGGATAAAATATAGATAACGCGTCTTCAGTTTTAACGTCGCATTAGCGTCGCGTCGAATGAAATGCATACATTTTCTCAATTTATTTTGGCGAGCCCGCAGCGACCTGTGACGAGCTTTTCGAGTGAAACCTGACCAGAGACACTGCATTTGGGAAGAGAACTAAATTTGACCGTATTGATTTCGACGCATAAAACCACGCTACGATTTATGTCGACGGAACGACGAATTTAATGGGATTAAATTCGTCTGAATTAAATTCGACTGCAGAGCGACGTATAAACTAGGCCTAACACAGCATATAGGGATGCAGGCACCGTCATGGTGCAGATTTTCCTCGAACACTTGAATCATTCAACTGATGCATTCCTCTCTCCATTTTGAACTGAGTCCCTCTATGACCTTAAATTTATGATAATTAAAAAAATAAATAAATAAAGAAGACCGGACTGACAAGTTTAATGACTGGGTTCGATCGAGCAGAGGCGGGAAAAATAACAGCTTTATGATTGGCCAAGATTATGAAGGAGTAACCAGTCTTTCTTGTTATTGAACGCCTGACTTTTTCTGGGCACGCAGTTCTTTCGATGTGTGCTTCTAATGCGTGTTTCGTATACATGGTGTTTTTGAAATTTTTCGTGTACTTATGTTAACTGCAGTTTGATTTCAAGCGACAGATGTGGCGCCTAGCTAAAGTTTTAAAAGACACGAGACTGATCGTGAAAGATCGCTCCTCTTCCTATCTTTGGAAGGCTGTTCGCAACGAATCAGGCACCTCTTCAGATGTGAAAGAAGTTCCCTATAATACTTTGAAGGTAATGTCGAGCGATCACTACAACTCAATCCAAACTGTTTTTTTTTCTGGTGAACAAGTATCAGACATTAAACATATAAGCCATTTTCGCAAAAATACATTGAGCCCGAATTGATCAACTAACATATGTTATTTACCAATTCGAAAGTCTGTATTAGGAAAAACTGTGCCCGTACGTCTTGGATACCGCCCGAGACTGTAGGTCGAGGACGGTGACCATCACGACGATCTTCTTCTTTTTTTTTTAAAAAAAAAAAATCCAATGACGATTTTTAAAATCTTCGAAGACTTGCCGCTGTTCAGTTTTGAATGTTACAGAAAGTCATTGTGATTGATCGAATTGAAATGTATGTTTTGAAGTTGTAAGAGTACTGCTTGTTTTTTTGTTTTTCTCTTTTCTTTTTTCTACCGCAAAAATTAAGTCAAAGGAAACGCTTTTTCCAGCTCGGCACAAGGGGTTTTGTTGTGACTTTCCCTCATCGAATTCGTTCGGTTTCTGTTGCGAAATTTGCGGTAGAAATGTCCAAATTCAAGGGATTTGGATAGAATAAGCGATAGTGCATTTAAATTTCGAAGATCTCAAAACATCGCTCAAGGTTTCTCAAAAGAACAGAATGTTTTATTGCCTTGATTCAGACATTAAATGAATGAGGGTCACCTTGAGTAAGTAAATGTAATTGTTAAGTGCACTACCTCCCATTTTAAGTTTCTGAGGTACTTTATGAGAAGAATTATTAGATTACAAATGGTTGTTAGGATTTATGAATACCGCCCGCTGACGAACTGGGCTATTAAAGGTCTTTTAAAGATTGAAACACCCACAAATACCAATGATTTGTTGAAAAGACTCTTAAAACTTGCTACAGCATACTCTCAAGTCCCAGCAAATTCCAAATATCTTTGTTTAGTTTTAAGTTTACTAATATATCTATGTTATGGTAGTTCATTGGGTGCTTTTACTTTGATTCATTGTGGGACAAACTAGACTTTAATGTAAGGGGTTATTATATAGCTGGCAGCACTCACAGGCAAGATCAAAAATCAAATTCTTTGAACAGACAGAAGACAAGCGAGCTCCAGACAGAGTCCCAGCAGAAGCTGATGTTGTTATCATTGGTGGAGGTTCTGTTGGATCCAGTACGCTTTACCACTTAACCAAACTTGGGGTAAAAAATGCTGTCTTGTTAGAGCGTGATCAGTTGACATCAGGAACAACCTGGCATAGTGCTGGGTTGGTTTGGAGGTTACGTCCCAGTGATGTGGAAGTGGAATTGCTGGCAGCCACAAGAGTGCTTGCAAGGGATGTCTTGGAACAAGAGACTGGACTTTGGGCTGGATGGAATGAAAATGGAGGATTGTTCATTGCAAACAATAAAGAACGATTGGATGAATACAAAAGGCTCATGACAGTTAGTACCTCTGAGCAATTAGTAATTGATTGTCAAATACCATCGAGATACATCAATTTTTTCTTGACATTGTTCCATGATTGCACTTAAGATGTGCACCCTTATCTCAGCCAATAAGTTGCGATGCAATTAAAACCCTTTAACTCCCAAGATCTGATTATAAATTCTCCTCTCTAGCTGCTACACATTTCCTTGTAAATTGGTTATGAGAATTTGGTGTTCAATCAAGGTAACAACTTCAACCTGATAAGTTTGAGTATTCTAATGACCTGTGTGCTGGAGAATGTATGCATATTATAGGGAGATGTTACATGTTAATCACTTCTGGGAGTTAAAAGATGAAAATAAAGAAAAAATTTCTTTTGATGGGGTGCTCATTTCAGTTGAAGGCCGGTATCCATAGGGGCTCATACATTTAGGAATTACTCGCACATAGGAGAGTAATTTCATCACTGGTTCCTTATTTCCTTAGTTCTTTTGGGATAAGCTACCTCCAAAGTCAATCACATGCACAAAGTTGCCAGCGAAAGCCTTCAAATATCTACTCAAAGGAATAAAGTTCCCTGAGGTCTTGGAAATTGATAACCAAAAATGATTTGCCCTAGTAAATAGCATATAGAGGTTGTTATCAACACTAACAGTGTGAAAATAGCATATAGAGGTTGTTATCAACACCAACAGTGTGAAAATAGCAAATGAATGAATATATTTGCTTACCTCTTAGAGAGTTTGTGACATAAGGGTGGTGGGGTCAAGTTATTACTAACACATGCTATTTGATCATTATGAAATGTAACAAGGTTGAAAAATTATCCCAAGTGCTTGGATGCTAACTAGTTGGCTATTTACAAACTTGAGACGTCGTGGTGGCATTCACAGCACTTACAATGCCTCCTTTGAAATTGAACAAGAAATGAAAAAGATTTTTTACATTTGTTTCCTAAACAGCTTGGAAAGGTTTATGGTGTTGAATCATTTGTTCTGAGTCCCAAAGAGTCCAAAGAACTTTATCCACTGCTGAATGTGGATGACTTGTATGGAACCCTCCACAGTCCTGGTGATGGAACTATTGATCCTGCTAGTTGGGCTACTTCACTTACAAGAGCAGCCATAAAGAATGGTGCTAAGGTATTGAATAATGTAGTAAAAAAAATTGACTATTTTAGGTAAGAATATCTGATTGTGTAGCCATGCACTCATTTTTGGGTAAGACACTTAAATTTTTTATAAACTAAAATACCATCCTAAATTACTAGGAAAGTTTCCAACTTTGGGTCCAATAGTGTTGCATCGTTTTATTACGTGTTGAAATTTACTTTAGTCAAGGTGATTAACTATAGTCTCTTTTGACAGATTGTGATGCTATTCCTCCCCAAGGGATGAAGTCACCTAGAAACATGACAAATCATTTTTTATATATCTCCTCAGGGTGAATCATCACAATATGTTTTGATACTAAAACCTTTTAATTTGTAGGTGTTTGAAAACTGCGCTGTTACTGGAATTCAAACAGAAGTCAGTGACTTGGGAATTAAACGAGTTTCTGCAGTAGAGACTCCAAGCGGTACCATCAAAACAAACTGTGTTGTCAACTGTGCAGGGGTGTGGTCACCATATGTTGGTTCTTTGTGTGGTGTCAGTGTCCCTCTGGTTGCTATGTACCATGCATACGTTGTAACAGAGAGGATCGAGGGAATTCAGAACATGCCTAACGTCAGAGATCATGATGCCTCAGTTTATCTCAAGCTCCAGGGAGATGGCTTGTCTGTTGGTGGATATGAGCATAATCCAGTATTCTGGGATGAGGTAGGGAAGGGTTCTTTTTATTATTACTAGCACAATGGTTATCCCACAAGAGTTTGTATCAAAAGGTTTAAAGTTATTGCAAAAGTTACAGTGTAATTGAACTGGAAAGAGCAGAATTTTGTCCTGTCAGTTATTTCTTATACTTGACCCACTAGTAGGACTTGGATTTGGCCATCTTCACTCCTGCTGGCATAAGGCATCAACCATGGATCTCCACAAGGCTCTGTTTGGCTGCTTTTTTTGTGTCTTCCCAAATGATGTTATTTTAGTTTAGCTTATCTTGGACAGGGTTCCTCCAAGACTCCATGGCCTCCAAAGCAGTCTTGAAGGCACATTGTGCAATACTTAGTGGGACTTGCTGACAGTAAAATTTATAGCTGGGGAGTATAAGGCATCAACCATTGACCTCCACAAGACCCTATTTTGCTGCTCTTTTTGCCTCTCCTCAGATGATGTCATTTTAGTCTAGTAGATCTTGGACAGGGCTCCTTCAAGACTGCTTTGGATGCATGGCCTCCAAAGCAGTCTTGAAAGCACATCGTGCAATACTTAGTGGGACTCACTGTCTGTAAAATTTATAGATCTCTCTAAGCTTTGTAATGTTTCTTTCAGGTCAGCAATAAATTTGCATTTTCTCTATTTGATCTTGACTGGGACATATTCAGTGCTCATATTGAGGGTGCATGCAACAGAGTCCCAGTCATAGCGGAAACGGGTGTCAAATCTACTGTCTGTGGACCTGAATCATTTACTGCTGATCATAAACCACTGATGGGGGAAGCTCCAGAGCTTCGTGGCTTTTACCATGGCTGCGGATTCAATTCTGCAGGTATCATGCTTGCTGGAGGGTGTGGCCAAGAGCTGGCACGTTGGGTGGTTCATGGTCACCCTGAACTTGATATGTATGGATATGATATCAGGTAACTGCACACAATAGCTTAACAATTCTAGAACAAATATTTAATTGAGATACAATGAATATATGAAGATCATATATTTTGAACTGCGGTATTAGATACGTATGACGCACGATCCTCGCAGTATATAGCTCCCAGTTGGCTTGTTAGCTCAATTGGTAGAGCGCTGCACTAGTATCGCAGAGGTCAGTGGTTCAAGTCCCGTACAGGCCAGATTTTTTTCAGGTCTGATTTTCGCTATTGCTTAAATAGCGCTGTCTACTGCGAGGATCTTGCATCATGCGTAAATATTTAATTAGGGCTTGGTCTCTCAAAATTTAGATTACATTATCCCCCTAATAAATAATTTTCATTTACTTAGCAGTAATTTTTATCCATTTGATTTGAGTCCATTGTCTGTAGAGTGCGTTCTGAGCGAGTTTTAATATGTTAGAAACTGCTCTAGAAATAAACCATGAATAACTTATGGAATAGTTGAATTTTTTCTGATTCATCCATTGATTGTTGTATAATCTACCATTAACAAAGCTGTGGTCTAGCAGCGCCCGGTGACCCCTGGCGCCTTACTTTTGCTCTTGGTGACTCAGGAATTTTAGTTTTTTCATACAAGGTATATGCTGGGCGCCCTGGATTTCACGGTTTCAAAGCACTGGGCTCCTTTCAATTTTCCTTAGAGCACAGCCTTGCATTTAACCTTAAAAAAAACTGAAAACAAGAGGACTCTAATGCTGATTTTTAAGTCCTGATTATGAGTTAGTAAGAATTTTTACACATGCTCGTATTTATCTCTTAAGGCGCTTCCATTCATCTATAACACCTAATCAGAAATGGCTTAGAGAAAGAAGTCACGAGTCCTATGCAAAGAACTATTCCATGCTTTTCCCACACGATGAGCCCCTCGCTTCCAGAAACATGCGATGTGATCCTTTTCATCAGGTAATGTGTAACTTTTTTGTGATTCAAACAAATCATGCAAGCCATTAAATGGAAAACCAGCTGAGGAGAATTGAAGCCATGAATTTTCTTGGAGAGTTTTAACCTTTAGCAAACAATTTGATTTAACATTTTAGATTTTACACTGTGCCTCATTTTATTATTAACCTATTGAAATCCAGTGCACACGTATGCACCCATGTGGACCCACACCCTTTTTGAGCCCTGGAGCACGACTTTGAGCACATACTTGAACAGGTTGAAAATATCTTACAAATGATACCAGAATGAGTGCAATTGAGTGAAGGGGATTGGAGAAATAGCCAAGAAAACCATGTAACTTTGACCTGAAAATCTGCACGAAAATCTTGTTCCTTTACTCACCTACCTTTCTGAGCATGTGGTTTGAAAATAATGAGTAGTTTCCTAAAAAATCTCTACACCAAAATGAAGCCTACTAAATTTTCAGCAATTGAGGAGAAACTTCAGGCAAGGAGAGGGGAAAAAAAGGGCAGGAGAAAGAGAGAAAAGTAAAAGTCGTAAGTGGGGCATTACTTTTCAACCCAAAATCTCAAAATTTTGCTTTCTGTGCGTGCCCAAGATTTTCAGGCCGCCATTTTGCATTTGGATCCAAAGGTCGTCGAGTGTATGAGCTTTCAATGGGTTTTTGGTAAGTTTTAGCTATTAAAACCACAACAGTGACCCGAAATCTGCTCGACTAGCTTCAAAACACAGTTTTTCACAAAAGCTGCGGCCATTAATGGGTTAAGGTATACCACAAAAGATTTTAGCCTTTATAACCAATGGTACAAGAATGGTGAAATGATATGAATGACAGTTGGAATATTTGTACCTGTAAATTGAGTGAGTAATCCTATCTGAGGTTCAACTTTTGATTCCAGGTTCTGTTAGACAGAGGGTGTGTCTATCAGGAGCGCCATGGCTGGGAAAGACCAGGCTGGTTTGTTCCTAATGAAGTAGCTGAGGTAATCGCGATTTTTTTTCTCAAGTTAATAGTCAAGAGATCTAGAAGCGACCCCCATAATGCCTGGTAGCCAAAGTAATTGAGACAACAGGAAGCTAATTTAAAAATTTCATTTCATTTCATTTCTACAGTATATCTCGCATTTTTTATTCAGGGGCAAAAGTATTCATATTGTGTCTGGAGAGATAAATGGTAGTGTGCCAGATCTGTGAGATGCTGAGAACCTTTAAAGTTAGAGCACTTGAGACAGAAAGAATTATACACAAAAAACAAGAAGTTCATGACTTATTAAAAAATTTGGAAGAGTTTATCAACAGTTTTTACAATCCCTTATTGTCTAATGTGTGATATTGTGGAACTAATGGCTAGCATTTTGCACTCTTTGTCAAAATGTGAGGGATCAACCACTGACAAGGGTCATTGCACTCAGTCGTCAAGCAAGACTCTTCAAATATCTAAATGCCTCACTTTCTCCACACCCCCCTCCCCATTGGAGTAAAAATGGGTATTAAAAAAATCCTATGGAAACATGGATAAAATGCCACAGGCTCACCAGCAATGCATTGTCATCCCATCCAGGTTCAGGAGGGGAGGTGACAATACTCAGAATGCTTTTCATTCAACTGATTTATTCTTGTTTTTCTCATTACCATGTTTCCACCAATAGCGTAACTCCATTTTCTGCACATAATCCACAATTCTTCCATTCTCACTTTTGAAGGGCCAGTGCTCAAAATATCAGCTTAGAAACTCTTTACTTTGGCCAATTTGCATTTTATTTATAAACTCAGTTGATAAAACCAAATTATTTTGTAATACTCAGAGTTGTTTCATCCTGCAGAGACTAGCAATGAGCTCAGCCAGTATTAGCCATTAAGCTTATATACATGTAAGAGACAGCCCTGCGCATCATCAGTTAGAGTAACTAAGCTGTGTAAAGGTGAAATTAAACTCCTTTCCTTGTTCATCTTCAGGTTAGGGAGTATGACTACTATGGAGCTTATGATGTTAAAGAACACAAAGACTATAAATACAATGAGTTACTGGGTCATGACTACACTTTTGACTTCCCACCACATCACGACATTGTAAGAAACCATTCCAAGTAAAGTATTATTAATATTAGATAATATGATTACCAATATATGATAAGATGATTTTAGTTTGTATGGTTACCTTATCGGGGTGGGGGGCAAGGACCTCAGCTTTAGGAGAGCAGGTTTAAGTTATTATTTTTGCATAGGAGAGGTGATTGTTGGGTGAACCTAACCCACTCATGCAGGATGATGACTGGACAACCCCCCCCAAACTTCATAGCAGCCATATTGTTAGGATAATTGACAATTATTGGATGAGATTGAGTGATAATAGATAATTGATAGTGATAATTATCAAGGCCAAAGTTTTGTGTCGTCTGCAAAAGTCGAAGTCTGAGGTGGATAACGTAAACTGGAGCCTTGATAATTATCGCTATCATGCAAAAACTGAATCCAATAATTGTTTCATTGTGCATATTCCTAAGTGCGCAAAACTATTGTCTGTAGGTATGATGTAAGAGAATGTATAATGATAATAGTTAATTGCCTGTGGGAAGATTTGCCCCTCCCACCTCAAGGGCTAGAAATATGATCTGTCAACCATAGGTTAAAAAATTGTAGCACTATTGTGTGACATATACCATGGCTTGGTGTTTTGTTTCCACAATGTTTAATGAATTTTACTGGATTTCGTTTAAATTGCCAGATTGGAAAGGAATGCCTTGCTTGTAGAGAGAGGGTAGCTGTTTTCAACATGTCCTACTTTGCTAAGTTTTATATGACTGGACCCGATGCACAGAAGGCTACAGACTGGATTTTCACAAATAATATGGCAAAACCCCCAGGTACCCGACAAATTCCCCTACATGCAAGTCTGTTCTCTTTTGAATGTACATGTAGTCTTCATGAAAGTGTGTTGTTCTAACTAAGTTAAGGAGCTATGTTGAGAAATAAGGATCAAAATTTACAAATTTTTCATTAAAGTAAGAGCCAATGGTTTGTAATGTAAGCACTAGAAAAGCTATCTAAGTTTTTGCTGTACAAATAATGACTGTCATTCTTGGCCAGTAAATTCTGTGGAGGCTTTGAAATTCTTTTATTTTACAGCTTTAAGCCAGAAGGTTGGCCAAATTAATATCTATTATTATAATAAGTACTAAATATGAACAATTTACAGGACGTACAACTTATACATGTATGACAAACAAAGATGGTGGCACAGAAGCTGACATCACAGTGAGTGTCTTGGAGAATGGTGATGGATCAAGTATCATAAAACCAAAATTTGAGGGTAAGCACTGTAGGATTTAGTTAACATAAATTTTACCTTGAACATTATTTATTGACTCTCTTAATACGGTTTGATTATACTAGATGCAAGAGACAGAAAAGATTGATAGAGGCTTAAAAGAAAAATGTCTAACATGGCTGAAATTTTCCCACTTGTATTTACCTAGTCTCTCTACACTTTGGACTCTTGTTTTCATCTCTTCAATTGCAAAACACTATCAGATTTAGAAATTCACAAACATTGTTTTTTTTTTCCTTTTTTTCTACTGCTTCCTGCTTTTTTTCTCCCCATGTTCATTGCTTCTCCAGCTCTTTGCCTTTTTGCCTTGAGGATTCCAATCCCACCCTGTTAAAAGTTTCTGATTTCATATAGCTGGAAGCTGAATTGCAGAGAATTCAGTGGCATTTTATTCATATTTGACAAGCTTCCTACTCACTGCTAGAATGATGCATCCTGTCCATATAGAAAGAGAAATTTTGAGCTTGATCTTTTAATAAAGAAGAGAACAAGTAACTTTTGTTTGTTGTGTGTTACTAAATCTGTACTTATAAAATGTAAGTTTCACCGTCCCAAAGTGATGTAAAAAGATAACTTTGTTAGTGAACTGCTATCAGAGAATAATGCAACGCACTAATATATAGATTTAGCCAAGCCTAAAAGTGGAGCTCCCAAGTTTGTAATATTAATGATAACATAAAAGATGTGCATTTGCCAAGACTCGCCTGAGTCACCCCTCCCTTTGTTTTGATAGTCTCCCCCCACCCTACCCGTGCAATCTGAGGGCACGTATGTACGTACACTTGGTCAGTCACATGACAACCAAACGAAAAGAGGTTGACCATATTCCATGGGTATGGGGCTCTGCCCCATGGCGTAGGAGCCCCGGTATAATTGTGTTTGTAGTTATCACATGTGTAATCAATCTTTATTTGTCAGGTGATGGATTCTACATTGGTGTTGGTGGTGGCATTGGTCAGCATGGTTGGTGTCATTTACAAAATATTCTTCAAGACAAACAGTACAATGTTAAGTTTGAAGATCATTCAGAGAAAATGGGCATGTTGAGTGTTCAAGGGCCCAGAAGGTACATATTGACACACCAAAAAAGAAAACCTTATTGTCTAAGATTGCAGTGTGCATTGTTTTGATGTTACGTCTATTTGGGTCTCAGCTCTCTCCATACCCACCCTCTTTCCCAAAAAAAAAATACCTCTAAACTGAAAGTGGTTGGGATTGATTCTTGACACTCTGCCCCTTTCTTCATTTCTCTAAGGGTTGATAACAACAACAAAAAAAAGATTAATGGCTGCTTACATAGGGATTCATAGCCTTTTTCTTAATATTTTACTTGCTGTACTCTTTATTTTCAGTCGCGAGCTGCTTCAGTGCCTGACCTCTGCAGATCTCAGCAATGATGCATTTCCTTTCTCTACGCACAAAATCATCAATGTTTCTGGCCATGATGTTCGTGCCCTGAGAATCACTTTTGTTGGTGAACTTGGTTGGGAGTTGCACATCCCAAATGACTCCTGTATACCTGTTTACAAAGCACTTATGGAAGCTGGTAAAGAGTTTGGTCTTGTCAATGGTGGCTACAGGGCCCTTGACTCACTCAGTGCTGAGAAAGGATATAAACACTGGCACCAGGATCTACGGCATGATGACACCCCACTTGAGGCTGGCTTGGGATTTACCTGTAAACTGAAGTCAGGTACCCCGTTCCTTGGGAGAGAAGCTCTTGAAAAACAAAAAGCTGAGGGTCTCAAAAAGAAACTAGTTTGCTTTACTATTGACGAGTAAGTAAATGAACACTAAACTTTATGACTGGTTTTGATTGTGAGAAACGGGAAAAACATTGAATTCTTAGGTTTTATCCCAAGGACTGTTGCATGCCTCTTACTAACCTAGTGCAAGGTCGGCACTGTAAGTCTCTTTTCCACTTGCATTTAGGTTTAGTTTTTTTTTTTTTTGGCTTAGTTAGGTTAGTAAGATATTTATTTAACTAGAAGGGGAAGATTTAAATTCTAACATACTTTTGAACTCATTCTAACTGAGAGATACAATAACACTTAATTCATAGCAACTCCATTTTTGTAAATAAATTGGCATAACTTTCAAATGAAAAAGGCTATTAACTATACAAAGGACTACTACATGTACTCCAAGTGACAAGGCTAAAATAGGGGCAAGGCAGTGAAAAGAGAGTTTAAGTTTCTTACCGAGTGAGTAGTGAAGGGCATTTTATTTTAAATGATTCACTTTCCATAAATGAACAGGGACAAAGAAATTGATGATTTTGTGTCAGTGTGGAATATGTAAAGTCAGAGTTCTCCTAAAGGATCTAAACCTTAGACCTTCAGATTCTGTGGTTGAATGCTGTTCCAACTGAGTCACAGAGAAATCCTGAGTAAGCTTGGCCAAACATTAAGGCCATAAATGCACCATCTAGCATTCTGCTAAGATCAGCAATGTTAAAGATATTACAGGTATGTTTTAGAAAAGACTAAGAAAGAAGGGAAACAGTCACTAAGGTAGTTTGACCATATGATGCTTTGATTTTTTTTTTTAGTCACAAAGCTCTTTTGGGTCTTGAAGCAATTTGGCGAGATGACCAAGTGGTTGGTTTCATCCGAAGAGGAGAGTTTGGATATGCTATTGGCAAAAGCCTGGCTTATGGATATGTGAGAGATCCCAGTGGAAAACCTGTCACAACAGAGTTCTTGAAGACAGGAAAATATACCATTGAATCTATGGGAGAGCTGTTTCCTGCCAAAATACACCTGAAAGCACCATTTGATCCAAAAAATCTTAGAGTACAAGGAATTTATGATGATGAAGCCCTCCCAAGTTAGAGCACTGCTTCCAATTGATTCTGACATCATAAAAAACTTGTGCACAACTTTTGATACTATATTCTAGTTGGTTATCATTTTTTCTTTTTTTCTTTTGTTGTGGGGCATAACAAGAGTGAGTGAAATTGACAATTTCTTGCATACATATGTAGCAAATTTAACTTGTAATATCCAATCAAAATCAAAACTGATGTAGAGTTTTTGTGAATTCCATTTGGTTTCTGACCAAATCCAATGTTATTCTTGTGACTACATACATACACTTTCAACTAATCAAGCGGTGCTAAACCTTTCCATGTTGAGAATTAATGCCTGTTATAACTACATCCAGTAAAGTGGCAGATCAAAGAAGGGCCTCCCTTAAGTTTAGACTGCCGAACTACCTTAAATACTTTTAAAGGTCAACTTTATTAAAGCAGTTCTTTTGTTATGTTTTTCAAGGTCAAAATTCCACTTTGTTAGACTGACTTAGTGTATTACAATGGAGCAATTAGTTATATTTCCTAAAATTGTAAATAGAATATGTGAACATGTTTGCCAGTGTGGAAGGCATCTCTGTCTCTGTACGAGACAAAAAATAATAAGCTGATGAGCTAGTATGGCATAGTTTAGGGTGAAATAAAAGTCAAACAGATAGAAAAAAAAGACTTTTTTTTTTCATTTTACTTCTTTGGTAAAGTATGTTTGGCTTGTACAGCATCATTTAAGAAAAGTGTTCATAAGTAAATGAACTTGACCCAGTTGTTCAAAGGATGGATTACGCTATCCAGTGCATAAACAACCTGGTGGATAAGCAGTAATGTAGCATACTCCACAATCCGCCTGGTAAAGATTTATGTAGTGGATGGCATTATCTACCCTGAACTCTCATAAAGCTACCAGGTAAGAAAAAAAGGAATTTCATTTTACTTCCCTTACTAAAATTGAAAAGGATTAATTTTGTAACTCTGAGGTAAAAAATGTGGTATCTCCAAGCAAATAGTCAACAGCAGAACACTTCCCCCTCCAAAAGTTATGAATATTTATTTCAAAATAACTGAAAAGTCAGGTTCTATATTTTAGAGTGTATTCACCACTAATAAAAATTATAAACATCATTTAGTGATCAGAAAAAGGGTGTCTAAATATACAACACAGGACTCTGGTAAAAATAAAGGAGCAGATACGTTGCCAGATAATAGTTTCCCTTTCTTTAATTTTTAATTTGGCTTTTGCAATCTGTAAAGAGATGCTATTGGTAGAACCTAAACTTGTACTTTAATTTGCTGTTCAGTACTCGTCATTCAGTCAAGAAAAATCCAATATTTAAGTAGCCATAAAAGTATAATCAACTATCATAATGGTAGTAATAAATGAACAACAGGCTTTCCATTAATAAAATCTGTATAGGACACCTTCAAGTAAAATTATAAGTGGTCACAAAATGTCCACTCGTGCTCTAAGAATTACTGTCGAACCCTGAAAACCAGGAACACCTGGAACACTTTTAATATTTACATGTTCTGAACAGTAACACTGGAGATTAGGACATCTTGTATCAACAAACAAACCAGACTACGGACAGGGAAATTGTATTGCTTCTTAGAGTTATCTGGGAATATTTCAAAGTAACCCCAAACTATTTTAAAACAAAGCCATCTATTGGCAATCTAGTGTATTTTCTTCCATCACTTTCTTGATACACAAACAGTATGTGTGAGAAAGTATGAGGCTGTGTGGAAATCTTGTGGTAATCTTGCATCCCATTGGCTTCCCAACACAACATTCCAGAGGTACTTTCAGCTTTACTAGTGACAGATTTTTTAATTCGACATTAAAATGCAATTTTTCTGCAAAAATGCCAAGCCATGGTTTGATTTTCAAATAGAATGGTGTTACAAAATACAATTTTGTTTCAGAATGAAAAAAGTCTAAGAATTATCCTAAGAATGTCACATGGGTTAAAATAGAGCACTGTAGGTACATGTAAGTGTAACAGTTTGTTGCATCAATGACACAAACTCTTTGTAAGGAGCAATGCCAGAGAAGACAAAAAAAAACTACAAAATAAACATTTGTATTGACATCTTTTGGAAAGCATTCACAGGGGGTTCTCAAACAATCAGCAGGAATTTTCCTGAACATGCTGTATTCATTTCTAGGAATAACTAAATAAGTGCTGTAATTTCTGGCCGTTTACCCGCAGGTAATCTGTTGATTTTTCCTTAAACACAAGCCACTGCTGGTAATAGGGAGGTGCAGGTTATGTGACAATTTTGAAATCTACTGGCAGTTGAATTGAAAAAAATTCTCACCCGCGTTTCCACCTCTCAGATGAATTTTATTGTATTAAAAGTGCCACAAAGCGGCACAAAAACATGATGCCGATTTGAGTTTATTTCACGCACAATTAGTTGCGCGACAAACAAATTACTATTGGCACGTGTGTAAACAAAACCTTGATGGTAACAAAAATAAACCAAGGATAACTGGCACATCAGTAACAAATTTCCAGTTAACTCTAGCCTCTGCTGAAAAGAATTTTCCCGTTTTAAGGGACTTGTTAGGCCCAGTAGAACTGGAGATATCAATTTTTTTGAGAAATCAACAAATCAACATGGTGCTGAACGATCGTTCACACAAAATGTGGCCACGAATTCGCAGAGTATTTTGTACAAATTTCCTTTGCTTTTAAGGTGCGGGTTATCCACCAGTGCAGGTAATCTGTTGACTTTTTTTTTTTTTGCTGCATGCAATAATCAGCCAGTGCGGGTAAACAGCCAGAAATTACAAAATTACAGGTATAGCCAGAATGAGTCCCAGTCCCTCTGGCAAAGCCACTTTGACCTTCTCACTCCCATAGCCCCTTACTGTCTGATAAACCTTTCTTATACTTTCAGCATTGAAAATTTGCAGTTCAGGCCACAGTTATTTGACAGTTGGATAATGCTATCCACTAGATAACTATTTATCTGGTGGACGATGCTATACATTTTGCTATCACTTATGCACTGGTTAGCCATTTATCCTTGGATAGCATCATCCATTGGATAGCATTATCTGCCCTTTACACAACTGTGCCCCAGTGACCTATATCTACTACATGAAACATTTCTTTCCTCTCATTGCATATCCACCTGACAAAGATTTGATTCTTAAAGTAGAAATAACTCACTGACCACTCCTGGGAGTGAAAAGGTGAAAAGGGGAATTACAAAATATTTTCATCTAAGAGTGTGATGAGTCATCACAATTACCCTTAAAGTGAAGCAATAAAGAACCTGGATCTGATATCACTACTCATGGACAGAAGTCACTTTAAACTTTTTTTTTTTCAGGGTTGACCTTGTGGGAAAATGCAATTGCTAATATTTTACCTTCCAGATCCAGTTTGCATGTAATTATGAGGCAGATCAGTATTTCCAAAGCAGGTGAACCACAAGTCCTGGTCAAAATGTAGGCATCAATATGGCCAAGGAAGACACAAGACACCGGAGTCCAACAATTATCTTTTTGATGAATGAAGAAGTTCCACTAAGGATTCACTTGCATTGATCTGTCCAGTAAGATTTAACATGAAAAGGCGCTCTAGGCTCTTGGTGCCAATTGATCTCAGCTCTGGTAATCTTAGAAGAATGTTTCCAAATCGATTTGGTTCATTAGGATGAAAGTTGTTGTTGTACTCCAACAATGATGCATGCACTTTATCCTGCAGTCTTTCTACTAGTTGTTGATCAAATAAACCTTTAACATCTATGCATGGACAACAATCAAAATAAACAGAATTAGAATAACATTGCAGAATGTACACACCAAAATATTGTGTGGTGTAATTCACAGGGTACTTCACAGCTACCAGTAGGTGTGTCATGTTCTCTGTTGATAGAAAACCCTGGTCAGGAGTCAAATCTGGACAAAGATGCTTATAATAAATCCTTGTCACAAACTTTTGAAACATACCAGCCTTTCCCCCTTTGTTGATCTTGGTAAAATTGGACTAATGCAAACTCAACACTGTAGGGGGGAGAGTGGGGTGTTTCAACAAGACTTGACAAGGGTTCTTGTTACCTTGCTTCACTGATTAATGTGTAGTCATAGGAAGGACATAAAAACAAGTAAGTTAGAGCTAAAGAGAGGGTTTTTTTTTCCATCTTAACCGAAATGAGACTCCAAATTTTTCTTAGTCCCACCCTTGTCATAAGATAAAAATAAACATCTTTCCCTTTTACATTACCAAGTTCAAAATTTACCACCTTTTTTTCCTAAATATTTTACAGTTTTTGGTTAAGGGGAGTGGGAAGGAAGGGGGGCCTATAAGAGGGAAGGACTGAAAAGAAACCTGGAGTTCTAAAAGGTGTGCTCATGGACTGTTTACATTAAGTCTGGTCCACAATAACTGACTCATCAGTGGTATCGTGTATTGTATGTAACTAGGAAAAAATCAATGTCTGATATGTTATTAACAATGACATTTAACAAATGGTAAACACCACAGCTTACACTATTGAGTTATGGATGCACACAGGACGTTGCTAAGCACAAAAGAAGCACAAGAGTCACTCGAGGCAATAGCCGAGAGCGACTCTAGCTTGTTGAGTGCTTAGCAAACCTCCCAAGTGCATCCATAACTCAATAGTGTACACTGTGGTGTTTACCATTTGTTTTATAACATGACATTGATACATTGTAGCTTAAGAGTTCCCTTTTATTTAACAAATCTTACGTGACCAGAAAAAACAATCGCATGCAGAAAAATAGTCTTTGCATTTGCTCATGTCAGCAGCGTACACCCATGGGCAAATGGGGGACGCTGAATTGACCAATCAGAGCGTGCGCTTTACTTTGGTTATGTTATAATACATACTGTGTATACTGTGTGTACTTTACCTGGGTTCAGTAGAATAATGACTTTGATACAGACAAATTCTGCATCATCCAAATTAAGTTCTTTAAATTTTGCAGTCAGTTGCATTACACGATGCATGATGTCACCAATTCCTGATGCTTCTGCTGTAGTAAAGTCCAAAACCTGACCAGGACAAAGAAGTACACCATTATCTAAATGTAAAGATTGCTTTGTCAAATTGATCAGCATTAGTTCAATCCATGCACTTCCTGAAAGAATCCGTTTATCGTTTTCACTTATGTCACCAAGTAATGGCAAGCATTTAAACCATTCCAAGTTTCTTTTGATTTGTTCTTCCGCTTGTTGTGTGACATGTGCAAATGTCTTCTGCCCAGTATCTTGCAGCTTACATCCTTGACATTCTGTAGATTGGGCATCAACTGGAGGCTCATATCGCAACAATTCTTTAATAAAAGGAGGAAAAGTTCTGGATGGAATCTTTGCTGGTGCAACTCCATCTACTCGATCTGAAGTTGAACTGCTCCTTGAGTTTGTCCTTGCTTGTTTAGCAGCTGGTTCTGATTTGATGCGTGAATTTGGAGAAAAAGATGAATTCTTATGTTTACCACCTGGTGTGCGATCTTCCCGGACAGCTATAAAATGGAATAAGATACATACCATTAGAGAATAATGGTTTAAATCTCTCACAGTTGGTTTGCAAAGATGAAGTGAAAAACAGAAGGAAAAGACAGACTGACAGACTAAAAGGTAAAATGATGGTGAGACAGTAATTACATACTGTCACTTAGAAAACCTAGAACAACTAGTTATGGCCTTAATTCATTTTCATACTTCATACTTCTCAGCTAAGCTATGGAATACACTGCCTGACAATATCCGCATGAGTGCATTTAAAGACTTTAGAAAGATAATCCAAGGCCGTCTCTTTGTATAGTCACTCCTGCTTATCTTCACTTTTCTGTTAATTTCTACTGATATGTTACATAATTATATTTCTAAATACTGTGTATTTTAGTATAGTTAGTACTTTAGATCTTGTACAGATATATGTATAAATATATATATATTTATATGGTTCTCCTCCATCCTAGCATTAGCACTGCACTGATGAGGCCCAGAAGGCCGAAACAGTACTGTCTGCAGTTAGTTATATATATATATATATATATATATAGATCATCTCCATTTTATGTTTTCTCGAAGATATTAGCTCCAACAAGCTACTCTAAAATTCGAGATGAAATAAAGTTTATGATGATGATGATGATGATGATGAATGTGAGAGAAGACGAAACAAGCCAGCTTGTCAGATTATTGCCCCACCTCCGTTTCAGCTGCAGACCCTTCGCCCAAACAACCGTAGATTTTGCAGGTCCTTTCTATTCTGTTTAAGGACGCGGAAAACCTGGACAAGAAAGGAGGCTGTGCCCTTTTACTTGCTTGGAAAGACGAGCAGTGCATTTAGAGATGGTCTGGAGACTAGATACGTTCTTAAACGTCTTCGCCCGTTTTACCAGTTGTCGTGGGGTTCCTAAAGAAGTGACAAGCGACAGAGGCACAAACTTCGTGGACGTCGTGGGCGAGTTAAAGAAACTAGTCAGCGAGTTAGACTGAAAACATCTTCAGAGCAAGACAGTCCAACTTGGAGTGACAGCTGCCCTACATTTTGGAGGGGCCCATGAAGTAATGATAAAAGCTGCTAAAAAAGCCACTTACGCCGCGGGGGGAGAACGAGACGCGAGCGACGAAGAGCTGATCACCGCGTTCGCTGGGGTGGAGTCCCCTCTTAATTCACGTCCGTTGGTTTATCAGAGTTCAGATACACGTGACGATGTTCCATTGACACCTAACCGTTTCTTGCGCGGCCAAATGGGGGGGACAATTCGCTCCTGAGGCCGTTGAAACCACTACTTTACATCCGCATGGCGAAAGGTTCAAGATATTATTTTACGAGTGTGGAGAAGATGGCTCAAGGAATTTGTTTTAGCCCCAAACAGTCGACCAACNACACATACAGAGAGACACATACAGAGAGACACACATACAGAGAGACACATACAGAGAGACACATACAGAGAGACACACATACAGAGAGACACATACAGAGAGACACATACAGAGAGACACACATACAGAGAGACACACATACAGAGAGACATACATACAAACAGACATATGGACACTTAGATCACAAGCAGGCAAGGAAATGACAGCCAGACCCATGGACAAATGACAGATACATGTAGATAAACAAAAGAAGGTTGAACTCTACACTAATGAAAATTCTAACCATAACTCTTGACGAAAAAACAGTCAAAAGTCAGATAACAGCCAGATACAGTTGGTGGCCAATTGAATGAAAGAAAAGAATAAACCAATGGATAGATAGGCAGATGACAGGCAAAGAACTTAACAAAGAAATAGACAGACATTTGGCAAGAGAGATGACGGTCCAAAAAGTAACAGGATTTAAGTAAAGGAACCTAACATATGGCAGTAAATACACCACTAGATTGAAATGAAGAATTGCCATTTTTTAATAAAGTTCACGTGTACATTGCAAAAATTCACGAAAAACACACCAACCTTCTTTCAACATTCCAGCTTTGATGCACTTTTGCAACCTACAGAACTGACATCTATTGCGGTGTCGTTTATCTACAGGACAATCCTGAGTCAAATTGCGGCAGGAGTAGACTTTCTTATTTTGAACACTTCTCTTAAAGAATCCTTTGCAACCTTCACAGCTAGTAACTCCATAGTGATGACCGGTTGCTCTGTCTGAACAAATAACACAGATGTCATCATTGACTGGGGAAGGAACAGTTTGCTGAGGAGTGCCGGGAGAAGATGGTGTCCTTGGAGTCAAAGGTGAAAGAGATGGTATTGGTATTGACGGTGTCCCAGGAATTGAATTAGGATTTGTGTCCTTAATATTTGCTGATGAGTTACTCACTATAACAGACTCTTTGACTGCATAAAGGGAAATTGTTGCTTCCTCCTTTCTGTCACCTTTACAGGATGCAACAGAAGACTCTGAAAATCCATTTTGAACAGTGGTTGTGCTATGGGGTACAGGTGAGTTTCCAGGCAATTGTATCAGTGAAGGCACTTGAGGAAACTGCTGTGCTGTGGTTTGCTGCATAGCCGCAAAATGATGAGGTGAAAATAATTGAGGAGCATAAAAAATGCTGGCTTGGGTTAAGTATGGTGATGCAATGGACACCATGCTTCTATCTACTGGAACCAAAGGCTGTGGAACAAGAAGTGGCTGTCCATTTGGTGCCAATAGTATGGCCCGAGGA